AACCCTTTATATATTTCCATATGTATTCGGCCCATCGTCGAATACAAAACCCTAATGGATCCGGTCTCTACACATATAGTCCGGCCCACACTTTAATTAGATGCTTAAAGCCCAATTACTTAATTCTTTATTAGATCACTTTAATTTTGGGCTTAACTTTAAGATAGCATTTATACACAATTAATTACATATGTCGGCCCATCACGGGAAATTAAATAATTTCCCAACAAGGGAAGCCCTCAAAGGGATCCCAAATATCAAGAGAGAATAGATCGAAAACGTTGCTTCATCTGTTGCCAAAGAATCTTGGAATGCGAGACATTTTATCGGGTGGATTTCTTGAATCGCTATACGAATACGAGGATTTACAATTTCTTGTAATGGCTGAATCAAAGCTTCCAAATTTTCGATTATGGATGTAGCTCAGAGGGGGCATTATATATTTATAGGAAGAAGATGGAGTTTCAAGCACTTTCAGGCCGTTTCTTGGAAAAAATATCCGTGGGAACCATCTGTCAGCATCTTCGACTGTAAAAGAATTAGAGCTATGTTACATGTACAGGGAGGATGGGGTGGGTTTGTTCACAATCTCTCACATATGGGATGGGTGGGTGGGGTAATTTTTTTTTTTAAAATCACAGTGGGGCCCATCACTTGTGAGCGGTTGTCAACCACTTCGGTACAACCAGCTTTATTTTTAAAATAATAAAGAAAAATACTGTGTAGAACAGACGAGATCTTTCTTTAAAGTTCGATACTACTGGACCTAGTTAATAAAAGAATTAGCCCTGATTGTCATTATTTTGAAAAAATTAAAAATAAAAATTGTATTGTATTGCATTTTTTTTTAAGAATGTGTGGTTAAAAAGTAGGAAATGTTTTTGAATTTATTTATAAAATATTTTATTGTGTGAACGTGTGATTAAAAAAGAGTATAAATATTAAAAAAATTATATTTTAAAGATGGACAAACTGAAACTTAATTAGTGCTTGTTTGGTAGGGATTTTTGGGGGAAGAATTGATTTTTTGAATAGTGATATGATCGGAAATGTGTAGTTGAAAAAGAAAAAAAAATTATTGGTGTGATGGAAAATATTATTTTATTGAAAAATATGTAGTTGAAAATGAAAATTGATTTACTATAGAATTTGAAAATAAAAAACAAACACCCCCTTAATCTTCAAATGGAATACAACCACGTATATTTTATAGGAGCACTGGTTGTCTAAGCCCTTGTTTGGGTTCTATTAAAAAAATTTTTTGGAGATAAAATATATTTTAAAATAGTTATTTTTTGAATAACATGTAGCTAAAAAGGAAGAGAAAATTTTGAATTTACGTGCAATATTGTTTATTGAAAAATATGTGATTAAAACAAAGAGGGAAAACTACATTTTGAAAAAAAATGAAGGCTTAATAGCACAAAATATCCCTACGTTTGACACTTCTTGTGGAAAACTTCCTTACATTTCATTTTTTCGCATTTTCATCCTTATTTTAATGTTTCATTGCGGAAAACATCATTTTCAGAACAAAACGTCCCTAGTTTTGACATTTCTTGTGGACAACGTCCATACGTTTCATTTCTTGTGGAAAACATTATTTTCACGATTTTTAACGTAAAATGACCAACATACCCTTCTTTTTAAATTAAAAAAAAGAGAAGAAAAATAAAGAACAAATTAAAATCTTACTACTGAACATTTTAAAAAGTGCAAATGAGTCCAAATAAATATAATTTTACTCTCTAATTTTGGGACGATTTTTGCCCCTCTAGCCGCCGTTTATGGAGCCAAATTTCGACAAGCTCCGGCCACCTAAACCACCAGAAAATGTTACCGATCGAACTCCAAGTATTCCAGCCGGTACAAAGCTTCAAAATTTGCTACTTGAAAATCTGAAAAACGTCGATTTCGTGCCTGCAAGCATTTCGGATCCAAATTCCGGTCGATTGAAGCCAAATAGGGGGAGACCCAAGGGTGGGCTAGGTGCGCCAAGTGAAGGCAAACCTAGCCAATGTGGTCCACGACCTCCGTTTGTCCAGACGGCGCCGAAAACTGACTTCTCCTCAGGCGATGTTGCGTGCGTCGCAACAGGGAGAAGTTCTGGGCTAAATTCAGCATCTAAACTTGGTGTTTGGTTACAATTGATTGCATGAGTGGGGTCGTCCAGAGGAGGGGGGTTGGTCAGTGATGAGCTCCAGCCGATATGGTGGCCGGAAGGTGAGAAATCGGCATTTTTCAGATTTTCAGGCAACAAACTTTGAAACTTTGTGCCGGCTGGAATACTTGGAGTTACATGGAGATATTGGTATGGAATTGAAGATGAGGTTAAGGGCTTTCCACGTGTAACATTTTCGGTGGTTTAGGTGGCCGGATCTTGCCGAAATTTGGCTCCATAAACGGCGGCTAGAGGGGTAAAAATCACCCCAAAATTAGAGAGCAAAATTATATTTATTTGGACTCATTTGCACTTTTTAAAAAAGTTTAGGAGTAAGATTTTAATTTGTTCTTTATTTTTTTCCTATCTTTTTTTTTGTTTTATTTAGATAGAAGGGTATATTGATCATTTTATGTTAAAAGTGGTGAAAATGATGTTTTCCTCAATGAAACGTTGAAATAAGGAAGAAAATGTAAAAAAAATGAAACGTATGGACGTTTTTCACAAGAAATGTCAAACGTAGGGACGTTTTGTTCTGAAAAAGGATATTTTCCGCAATGAAACATTGAAATAAGGACGAAAATGCGAAAAAATGAAACGTAAGGATGTTTTCCACAAGAAGTGTCAAACGTAGGGACGTTTTGTGCTATTAAGCCAAAAATTGAAACCCAAACATGAGATAATATAATAGTCTTAGCACACTGCTTAAAAAAAATGGTAATAGCAAACTCTTGTTTAGTTTTATGGTGATTGGAACGATATCTCGTGATGTTTACATATTGCCAACAATATCCTCTAATTTTTGTTTTGACTTAAATTTTTTAAAACTCAGCAAAACTTTTTGGAATAAGTCTTATAAAATGACGAATTTATCTTCACAGTTAAATAAATAAAATGAAACAACTGCAATCAAAGTCTCAAATCTTATTTTTGTGATTTAATTCATCTTCATACAATCATACCCTATCAGTTATCACTCTTTATAGAGATAAAATAGGGTTATATTTGAGGTTATGTTTAATATTATTCAAGAGGGATTATTAAATAAAATATGAACATTTATCTTCAAGTTCAAATAAGTGTTGTCAAATTCTTGAATTGATATTAAAATAAAAGAATATAGAAGGATT